TCACTTGTTACTTGGGACAACCCTTATCTTCATCTATGAAGAAGAGAAATTCTTCAAAGCAGAAGGCAAAAACCCCAACCCTCCCAAAAACCAAACAAAACCCCCCTTGTACATCCTTGAGTTGATGCTCAAAACCAAGAAGCAATCTCTAACCCTCCAGTGTGCTGTGAACACTTCTCGTGGAGCAGGTATCTAGGTCCCCAAGATTGCCAGGACAAAAGCCCCCGTGTCTTCTCCTGCGTGATTTCATATTGTTACTCTCTGAAAATGGAGCTGTTGGCCAGCAGCAGTCCTTGTAACACTAGTAGGTGCTTCTCAGGTGAATGCTAGTCATGGTTTCATTGCTGGTAGTTTGTATCGTATGCTAACAGGACACAACAATACAATCCTAACATTGGGCCCATCTATCCTATTCCTGTCCTGTTCTTGTAGCTAGATTGGGAACATACTTTTCTACTCTTCACATTTAAAGGTTTCTACCTTACCAACTTTGACAATGCAGTACTGCTTATTGCTCTTTCTCTGATCTTAGCAACTTCCAAATGTCATTGGTTCTTGATTTCATGCTGCTGAATGCCAGGGAATGGTAGCTACTGTAAGCAGAGTTTGAAACAGTAAGGTGAGGTGCTAAACAATACCCTCCTGTTAATTATGGGAGATGAAGACCATAGTGGAAGTACAGGTCAAAGACTCTGTGAGGATATTTATGCAATGTTTGATTCATTCACTACCAGTGAATGGTTTAATAAAAAAAATTATTAGTCTATATTATCACAAAAGTACTGCGTACCTTTACCTTGATCAGTCTGTGATGTGGTGCTTGCATAGAAATTATCCTAAAGGGCTACATGCTGTTAAATGGTAATGAAGTTAATGTAACCTAGAAGTGCTTGTGTCCTCAGAAAAGAACAACATTTTTATTTAGTGTGGTGTTGTAGGCAGTAAGTTGGGATGTCCAAAGCAACCTCAGGCACTTGGGCACCTGTTCCTCACTGAAGTTTTTAATGGAATTAGGGCTCCTGTTTCCCTTAGGTTGCTTTGAAAGTCACAGTTAAAGGCTCTTGAAGTTAATGGAACTTCTTTTATGCCTTAAATATATGTTATCAGGCTGAAGTGTTCAAATTCTTGCTTGTTAAACTGTTAAAAATGTTGGATGAGTATGTAAACATGCAGAAGGTGTAAGGCCAAAAAGCTAATACTAAAATTTCATGTACTAGTACGAAGTAAGCTTCCTAAGTTGTCCATCTGCTACCAGGGGATGTTAAATGATTGAGCTTGTATTTTCAGCCATAATAGAAAATGTCTAGAAACCAGTTTTCATTCTCCAAGGACTACATTCATTTCTAATAGCATCTAGTCATTTAAACAAGTTTGTGCTGGCTTATGAATAGTAATAGACTGTACTTTTGGTTAGGATGAAGGAACATAAATCACTGTCAGGCAGCTTAGAAACCAGTATGTCCTCATGATTGTTTAATAGAGTACAAAGGGAATTGCCTTCAAGCTAGTGAAACCTCGTATCCAGTCGCCCATTGGGGCTGCTTCAAAAAAAGAAGAGAATTGTTCTCTTATGAGTCTTGGCATAAAAATTTAATTAGCAGCTGAGCTTTTTCTGAGGATAAAAAAAAGTGATTTCTTTTTATATAGTCGCTTTCCCTTAACTGTTTACTCTGTATTTCTGTATTGTTCACACAGACAAGATCTGCCGCCTTCAACATCTATTTTTTTTCCTCCTTCAGTAGTGATTTTGAAATTATTTTACCCAGTTTCAGCAAATTTTTTTTTTTTGCATTACGTTTCAGCATATTTGAACACTGTTCTTGGAAGACATTCAGAACACAAGTCAGAGGAAGAAATGGATACATAATAAGATTTAATATGTAGTGGATACAAAACTGCTGTTATTAAATAAAAAATAATTATAATAATTATTACTGTCATTGATAGATTTGTTGAAATGAATCTTTCTTTAGAAGACTTCAAAGATAGTGAGTATATACTAATCAGAAAATCAGTCCTCAACTGGAATCAGATACTGTGTATGTTATTTATTGTAGTTTCATCTCTTTAGCACATGTGTTATTTTGCTCTTAAAGGAATTAAATCTTATGACTTGGCATGTGTTTGCAGTGTCATAGTATGATTCTTGCGAGAACTATGAATTTGATTTTTGTTTAATTTCTCAGATTTAAACAACTATACTTTAATCTTAGTTTCCTTACATAACAAGGAGACAGGAAACGAAAGAACAAGAAGAGCCCCAAACCTTTAACTCTGTTGGCATTTGCTCATAATGTCAAATGTCTTAATGTCAAATTAATTAAATCTCTGGTTTAATGTGACACATTTTCCAAAAGTGCACTGGTGCATGGATATACTGTGATGACCTTGAAGCATAAGTGTTTGTGTATTGTTTGTTTTTTGCAGTTAGTAGAAATGCTTCAAGGTCTGGATATGTCGAAGAACTTGGCTCTGCTTCAAGGCATTCCTTGGCATATCCATCAGTCCCAGTGCTTTGAGAACTGCGTCAAAACAGTCATCAGACCAGCAGATATCTGAGGGATTATGTCAGAAAAGATGTGACTGGCTGAAAGGTGTAGTCATTGAAACTCAGCTGGCTTTTTAATTTCATGTCTGCCCAGACATGCATGTGCTTGCCTATTTAATTACGTTTGGATGAGAGCAGTGAAGTACCTCCTGGCCACAGATCCTGTATTACATCTTCATAACAAATGTTAAGTCCTGGGCAATATAGCTGTGAACTTTGCTATTCAACTCTCCCAAGTGATGTGTGTTGGATGTCATACCTAGGCCTGTGACTTTACTTGGCAACAGAACCCTTTCAACCAGCAGTTACTTGCTTCTAGCTGCTGTCAATATCTTTAAAGACTGAAAGTAAAAATAATATACTTTAGGACTCTCAGTTGAAATTTGGAAACAAAGTTGCTTGCATTGTCTAGAAATCAATCAACTAGAAATCTCTTCTAGTTCAAGAGAAAAATTGTAAAATGAATTTTTCGTATATAAGGTGTTTTATTTCCTGGAAATGGTCTTCTTTAGAAATGTTTCCCTCTTTCATGTCTTGCACAAGCCATTGTTTTTTAAACTTAAAAAAGATTTAAGTTTTCATTTTGAAAACACTGAAACAAAGTGTTTTGATACTTCTGAAATTCACCTTGCACCTTCTTTGGAGAGCAAGGTCAGACTCTGGATTTGAAGAAGCTGAATATAATAGTAAATATTCTCCTTGCAATACTAGGCTCCTTAACTTTCCAGAAGAATGTAGTTGTTCGTGTAGGTCAGCGAGGGAAACATAACTATTGGTACAAGTGGCAAGACTGTGTTTGACTTGTTTGATCCTCAGATTTTGTTATTTTCTTTTAGGAAGAAGAGGTCGGTTGGGCTCTTTGGAGCAGACAGAGAGTTTGCTACCTTCTGTCTAGTGGGAGTCTGAGTGTGCTGAAGTAAAGGGGGTCAGTAGTAGTGTGTGCTGGGGACGTGGGAGACTAGCTAATGCAGAGATCGTAGGCTACAGTGAGAAGACAAAGAACAGCTGGTCAATCCTCAGAAGGGATAGAAAGAAGGATTTCCTAAGACCCGGAAGACTGGATAAGGCTTGCTGTTGTTTAGGAAATTGCTAACCTGGCTAGATTTGAGGACTCGTCTTCACAGGGGGGAGTTGCATATATATGGTTTAATTTTACTCTGCTTTACAAATTGCTTTGAGCTTTTTCTATTTACAGAGTCAATTGTTATAACTGTTACTTGTATAAAACCTGATTTTGGAGGGGTTTAAAGCCCTTGGCTTTGGGAAATTTACAGTAAAAAAAGCTTTGGGCCACTACACCTCTGTGTTCTGGCTCCATGGGCTTATTGGGTAAGACCAATCTGCATAAAACTGGTCCCTGTGTCTTCTCTGGGCAGCCATTCTTTCACTCCTGGTAAACTAGCCTGGAAGTGAGTAATGTAAAGGCAAAACTTCCCAGGAAGTCTGATATGACTTCAAAGCTAAGAAGAGTTAAAGGACAGTGAAGGACTTTGTGGGAAAAAGAGTATGGTGTAAATGAAGAGGGGCAATTTATGTAGTCCTGAAAAGCTTTTGAAACTTCTGACTGCAGTCAAAGATCACAATTCCTGCTTCCTCTTTCAGTGCTGGACAAAAGATACCTGCACAAATAATTTACTTCCTGTATAACAATGTAACCTCAACAATTTATTTTGATGGTCTTCATTTCAAAATAACATAATTACAAAACTGTGAGGTTTTTTTGTTTGTTTATTTGGTTTTGTTTGTTTGTTTGTTTGAAGAGAGCTAAATGACATGAGAATGAAATTAAAACAGTCAGTTTTGGTAGAATGAGACGTTTCTGGTACAGCTAGATTCTTCTTAAGCTTGATAGCAAATCAAAATACTGAGAATCTGAAAAAAGAAAAAATGTGTTTCTATGAGCCCAATACTGTTTTAGGAGTAAGTCTCTTCTGGAGATATTCTCTGAAGTTACCTGTTCTTTCTATCAGTAGAAGGAATTGTCTGGGCTGCTTCTTTCTCCTTGCTTTGTGATCCTGCAAATACAACTGTCATACTTCAAAGTCTGGATCTTGACGTTTGAAAGACACATTTCGTATTTGATACCTGGTATATAATTTCTTCAGTGTAAAACATCTGCTACATGTGATTTTTCTAATCCCACAATATTCTTTGCACACTTTTCCCACAAAAAATAAAATGACTATTTATTCTCCACAGTAAAGTTCATGGAACTTTTATAAAGTTGTAGAATATAGACTTTTAAAAATCATTTTCCTAGGTGTATATTTATGAAGATTGTATTACTAAAAAGCAGTGAGGTAGGATAGCAATGTATTATAAGGATAATTCATGCATGCTATACCATAATTAACTTTGGGGGAAGTTTTAAATCAGCAGGACTCTTCTGGGGTTTTTGGTGATCATTTCAAATTGTGGGGGGAAAAAAAAACCCTTTAATTGTTTGTTTCAGTTTTACAGAATTTTTGGATCCATTCCAGCGGGTTATCCAGCCAGAAGAGATCTGGCTGTATAAAAATCCTTTGGTGCAATCAGACAACATACCTACGCGTCTTATGTTTGTAAGTACTAAAGTTTTATTGGTCATTTGATGGCTGTAAACTAAGTACATTTTCATTTGATAAGCAGTAGGAAACCTGTCAGAAGTATAGGATGTTCCTTTTATATTAATGACAATTGTTTTCCAAACCAGAAATGTCCAACATGGCAAAATGTAGGAAATCGTGGGGAGTTTCTAAAAAGCAGCATTACCAGGTGACTGAATTTAGGAATGTTGATTTTACAGTTTAAGATTTAAGCAAGTGTTAAGTTAGAGGGATGCTAGAGAAATGATTAGAGAAGCTTTTTGAATTAGCTGGTTGGGTGACCTGACAAGACCTTGCCATGCTCTTATTAGGTTAAGTGCTTAAATTTTGAAATCCGATTTGTTCTAGGCATGTTAGGCTCTGAGATATTTGCCTCCAAATACTTTTTGGTGGTGGGTTTTTTTTTTTAATGGAGACAAAACCTTTGTTTCAGCTTCTGCCAACAATCCTAAGGTCATTGGGAGCATACTTAATATATCACAGAGCTGCTCTGCTGGCACCGTTCTTCTGACTCTCCCCAGCCCAGCTCATGTTGACATGCAGACTGGCTGTCTGATTTTGGTGGTTTGTCTGGTTATCAAAATTCATCTTTTTGATAACCTTCACTAGCAGTGATTAACAATCATTATAATCTACACATATAACTACAAGAGTACAGTAAGATAGACTACTACAGAAATGCTAAGAAATTACGGGTATAGTTCAGGCTTTTGAAACAAGTAGGTCAGTCTTTGCAAAAGCTTCATCAATCAAAGTGTGGATTTTGCAGGAATGGACATGGCAGATGAGGTCAGATCCTAGTACGCTTACGCCAAAGCATCTTTTCATGTGTCTTCAGTGAAGCATATCTCTGGCTTGCCAGGATGAATAATGAATGAGAGAGATTTTGTCCATGTTTCACAAAAACAAAGCAATGTTGGAATATTTCACTGCTGAAAAGAAAACATTACTGAGATGCATCTGAGGAGAGTATTGCTCATTAGGCTGTTGCCAAATCTGTTATGGATATGAGCCATACAGAATCTTTTTGCAAAATAAAGAAAAAGGAGTCTTCAGCAAGCCAAACTTTCTTTATACGTGCATTTTGCTGCAGAATAAAAAACACCTTCCAGCTAGTGCTTTTGTGTAAGGAACAGCAAAGTACTGCAAACATGAATAGTTCATCTCCCTCAAAAATCCATATGCTTGTGAAGTATGAGGAAATCTGCAGTTTTACCAGATTTCTGAAGATTGATTGTGAAAGGTTTGGAACAAGGTGCCACTTGAATTCTATTCTTTGTTGATATTTTCTGCTGCTCTTGCTTGTTCAAAAGATTTCTATCTCCATTAAACAACCACTATAAGCCTGTCAGCCTGGCTATATTTCTACATGTTCTTCAACAATGGAATGCAGAAATCTTTCTTCTTTTCTTTCCTGGTGGCACTCCTTACTTTTTAGAATGAAACTAATAATTCTAGGTTTTGCTTTAACCATTTTTATTTCACTCTTTGTCTCTGAAAGCAGAAATTACACTATTGCTGAGGCTAGAGAGAGCATCAGTAAAGATAGCATAACCTTACTTAAGCCCTGGCGCCCCTTGTGCCACATATAGCTTAATTAGCGCCTTGTTTAAAAAAAACAGTCATTTTCACTTTTCTTCAAGAGAATAAATGCTTTTGAAAGACCTTGATTTGTTTTTGAACACGTGATTGTGAAGAGGTTTGTAGATTCCAGATAGGAATTGATTAACTTAGACTGGAACCAGCAAGAAGCATAAATGGACTGCCTTGCCTGCAAGTTGCCTTTTATCTCTGCAGTTGAAGGTCTGAGACAGAAGGGATGATGGAAGGACCAGCTGGGAACAAAATCATAGTTTCCATGGCAGGCTACTAATGAAAAATTCCCTGGTATTGTGCTTGTGAGAAACTGGTATGTCTCTCTGGAGAAAGTAAAAAAATACCTGCTCTGTGAGGACAGACTGCAGTATACAGACACTGCACAAAGTAGGATGCTTTTTGGATAACTGGCACATTTACAGTGAATCATCAACCATAGTCCAAATTCATAGAATCACAGAATAGTTTGGGTTGGAAGGGACCTCTAAAGGTCATCTAGTCTAACCCCCCTGCAATGAGCAGGGACATCTTCAACTAGATCAGGTTGCTCAGAGCCCCGGCCAACCTGACCTGGAATGTTTCCAGGGATGGGACATCTACAACCTCTCTGGGCAACCTGTGCCAGTGTTTCACCACCCTCAGCATAAAAAATTTCTTCCTTATATCTAGTCTAAATATACCCTCTTTTAGTTTAAAACCATTCCCCCTTGTTCTGGCGCAACAGGCTTGTTTGTCCCCATCTTTCTTTATAAGCCCCCTTTAAGTATTGAAAGGC